GGTGATGCAAATGTGCACCGAGGGTCCTGATCACGACACTGCATTTCTTCAGCTGCAATTTCTTCTAATTCACATCTACACAAGAGCTATTCCTCTGTAGGGATAAAACATTTCATATAGAAATATTTGAAAGGAACTTAGTCGAGAAAAGCAGCAGACCAACATTAAAGTAGTCACAATGTGAGGTGTCAAATGCGACTTCAGCATCTGAAGGAAGCACTACAAGAAGAGCAGAGGACCTCGCCCGTGCGCGCTTTGGGGGAACAGGACAGGGCCATGCCACAGGAGGCTCTCTGTGGGACGAGACACCTGCATCTGAGACGGGAGTTGCAGGATGGTGCAGAGTGAAGGGACTTAGGGCACAGAGCGTCAGGGAGCGAGGCTCCTGCGAAAGCACAGTGGTCGGCTGATGAAGGGCCGTGCCTGAGCAGGAAGAGCCAACCAGGTGGAGACAGGTTCAGAGGACGCTCATCAGCCGTCCCGAGAGATGGAGGCCAGAACACGCCCAGGGCCCAGCTGGCCGCCTGAGACAAGGACGCACAGAAAGGGGCTGGCATGAAGGCGGAGGGCCATTTTGGTTTGGACACAATGACCTGATATACCAGGGGAACTTCCAGTGAAGACGTCTCGTAGGAAACAGATCCGAAGCCTAGAAACGGCCTGCAGGTTAAAGATCACGGGCACCACTGACAAAGGGACGGAGGGAGTAGACGAGAAGAGACTGAGGAGGGCCCGGAGTGCCCGCATGAGGACGGAAATGGGAAGAGGGGTGGGGTAAAAGACAACTCCAGTGGTTGAATTTTATCTGCCAGGGTTCAAGGTTTTGACTTCGGAACCCACATCCTGCGCCCAAGTGTTGAATCAATGGTTTTACTCACTTATGCCCTGCACATCCCCAACTTTCCAAACAGACTTTGAGCTTCTCTCTCATCTCTGAAACAACATCTATGTGAAAAAACAGCAGCACTACGTATAACGGCCAAGACTTGAAAGCATCCAAGTGCCCACTGAAAGATGAATGGAGAAAGATGTGGTCTCTGTATACAATGGAATACTACTCAGCCATAAAAAGAATGAAATTCTGCCATTTGCAGCAACACAGATGGACCTGGAGGGCATTATGCTTAGTGAGATAAGTCAGACAAATACCGGATGATATCACTTATATGTGGAATCTAAAAAAAGACAACAAACTAGTGACTGAAGCAAAAAAGAAACAGACTCACAGATATAGAGAACAAACTAGTGGTTACCAGTGGTAGAGGGGAGGTACAAACTACTGGGTGTAAGATAGCCTCAAGTATATACTGTACAACATGGGGAATAGAGCCAATATTTTGTAATAACTGTAAATGGAGTTTGACTTTTAGAAGTTGTATTAAAAAACAAAGTTTTAACTAGAATAAATAAAAACAGCAGCAAAAAAAGAGAATTATATACAATTAAGCTAAAAATAATCAAATATGTAAAATATGGTACCCATGGTTCAAGTGACTCAAAAACCTTTAAAACTGATTGCTGTAAAGGACCTTCCCTGGACATATTTTAAAAAAACAAAAACAAAACACCTGTCCTTTCTCCACCTCCATGTTGGAATACCTGAAAGAGATTTAGGGGCTTCAAATAAAACCTCAATCAAGCATTTCATGCCAGACTTTAATGGCCATTATGACTACATTCCTGAGTCGGTCAAAAATCTGCAATTATCCAAACTCTAAATTAGATAATTCCTTTTAAAAGACTGGCACAGGTTAAAATATATGTAAAAAAAAAAATTCCTTGGAATTATGTAATTACAGCTACCGCAATAAAATTACAAGCTAAGGTTTATTAAGCATATAGCTCTGGTTTTCCTTTCTCAAAGGTCTCAAAGAGTTAAGGATTTGTGGTTAACCTGGGGTGCACACTTAGAACGCAAAACTCTGTAAACAGTCAATGAGCATATGAAAAAGTGTTAACCTACCAAGCAGAGAAAGGCACGCAGATGAAAATACCATGAAAGAGTATGTTTACCTATCAAATTAGAAACTATAATCAGCGATGATGGCCAAATGTGGTGAGACCGGCTTCTGGAAAGCAATCTGGCAAACCCCACCAGGAGTCTTTGGAGTTGTACTCCCAGTTGTAAGAATCTACTGTGAGGAAGTAAGAAATGTGACCAAAGACTATCTTCCCCTCTCAGTAACAACAGTGAAAATAACCAGCAGGAAAAAAGTTAAAATAATAAAAATCAGAAAATGGTACATCTGCACTAACAAATATAAAGCCATAAAACTCATCTTTACAAAAATAGTTAATAAAAATGGAAAAGTGCTCACAACAGAAGAGCCGATAGAAAAAGATACATTCAAGGTAAACAGAATTGGGAAAAATGTTTCATATTTTTTTTATAACATATATACACACAGGTATACGGTATACATAAGACACTAAATTATTATATATACTAAAATAAGACAGTGTTCATCTTTGGCGCATTATAGATGATTTAAAAATTTTTTTAGATTTTCAGTATTTCTCTTTTTAAAAAATGATAATTAGGTCTTACTTTTATAATAAAGAAAAAAAATGCGTGACTGGAAAAACACTTCCAAGACTTGAGGAAAACTCAAAGGCGCTGGCCCTGCACGTGGAAACACACAGAGTACTCAAGGGCTGGCACCTGCTGTACGGGCTCCAAACAGCACATCCACTGAAGGCCTACAATGGGGCCTATTTTAAAGGACGTAACTTGTAGGGAAAGAGGAGTTGATACTCTGATCTGATAAATTTAATGTTTATTATTTAATGTTGTTTCATCAAGTCCGAAATGATATACATTAGCCAACCGGCTTCATGTCCTATTCCTTTGGTGTGCTTCCATGGAAACAACTTTGTTCTTTATCTTAATATATGTATGGTGCTTGGCCAGAAAGCATTCTGGATTTAGCACGAGAAAACTTAATTTTGAGTCCTGCTTTGCTCTGCTGTTTACAGGTCAAGGCATTAACCTCTCCGAGCATTTTTCTGCATGAAAAAAATGGAGTTAATAATACTTTCCTTGATTACTTCACAGAGCTATTTTCATCAAATAAAACTGTGTATAAAAATCATTCTAGCTTTAAAGGATGAGTGATGATTAAATTTTAATAAACGCCTAACAAGCGTGATTATGCACGTACTGTTCCTATGTAAAAATTAATTCTACTCTTGAAGATGGAGACTGAGACAAAGGGGACTGAAGAGGCTGGCCATTTCTGTGCCGCTCCTGGTAGAGCTCCTGGCGGAGCAAGAAAGCAGAAGGAACTATGCCTGGAGGACCCTTGGCAAAGTCCCCACCTGCAGCCTGAAGGAGACCTGAGAGAGGTGGGGCCCATCTGGTAGAAGCACACCAGGCAGAAGCCCTCGGTGAGCACTTCCCTCTGAGAGCAGAGCAGAGCCAGAGAACAGATAACCAATGTTCATGGGACCCACGTGCCCTGGGATTGTTCTAGGATCTGGGCCTCCCGAGCTATCTGTCATTTGAGAAAGGAACCGTGAAAAACAGTGGCAGTTGGCAACTTTTATACCTTAATTCAAGAAATATATTTTACTTGATTGTCATCATGAAATTAATGAATTCACTCATAAAAAACAGAATCGGCACAAACACTATAAATCTAGTTTACTGTCTATTCCTTTAATACTCAACTGAATGATTTCAAAATATTCAATTCCAAATTCTGAGTGCCCAAAATAGCCCACCCCCGATCCTGCATATCACCTTGTCTCAGAACAATCTGGACAAAGGCTGGGAAGGACATCAAAGCCCATCTGCATGTCAATTTCATTCTTCTTCCTAATGATACAAACTGAACCTAACAGATAATTCCCACTCATAACTTTGTAAAAACCTAAAAATCTCCCTGCTTGTTATATGCAGTTCCTAATCACTTCATATATTTCTAAAATGATAAAAGATTTCTTCAATAATAATGTTAGTGTCATTATTGTTACTGCATAAAAATAAAATGCCCACTTTCTACAAATACTAACTTTCTACTGCAAGAGAGCACCTTGCAGTTCTCAACACAAAAATTTCTGGAAATAAACTCGACATTTGGCCCTAAAGTCTTAAGTCACAACATTTCTCATCAGGATGATTAATCTTTACGAAAAGGCAAGAAAACAAGACACAGCCACCCACTCTGACATTTTCAATCTTTGAAAAAAAAATCCCAATCTAGTTCATGAACTGGAACCATCATTTGTAAAAAGTATGCAATCCATCAAGAGCACTTTTTGATTATAAGATTAACAAGATCACTATCTTTCTTATTCTTTGCACTGAGAAAACTGTACTGACATTAGAAAAGTGGTTCTAGCTTAGTTTTACTTAGAAATCTGATAAACTTTTGTCCAGGAACCAAGCAGCCTTTAATAATAACATGATTACTTCATTTTTTCCTTTTCTGCTTACTTGAAAAGTAGAATCAACAAAGTGTAACGCTAAAAAAAACTACTCCATTGATTTATACAGGGCTCATTTTTGTCCACCTTTCTACAGGCAGGACTGAAGAGTGGAGGGTATGTACTTTTCAGGTAAGACAAAGCAACCTAGAGCTGTGCCCGCGTGCAGGAGCGTGTGTGCACGCACGTGTGTGTGCGTGTGCTCTGGCAGGCAAGCAGAAGCAATGCTGTGGCCCCCTGGAGCGGGAGGGAGGAAGAAGAGGTGGCTCTCCAAGCTCAGGGTTTGCTGTCGGCTGGAAGTAAAAGCTTTAACCTAAAAGAAGCCAAATCAGAGATGACTCCTGAAGATCTGGCTTTGAAGCCTTTCTTTCCTTCTCCTCCCTCAGTTTTGAAAAGCTCTAACCTTGAGAGGGCTTTGCTCTAGAGAAAGAGGAGAGCGTCGCCTCAGTGACTGCAGTGAGCTGTGAGGAGGAGGGCCCGGGCGCGGGGAGGAGCGGGGGTGGGGGCTGAGGAAACAGCTGGGAGCGAAGCGGATGGCGCCGCCACTTGTCCATTTGACGCGATCCATTTACCTGTGTCATTTTTTCTATTCCCTGGAAGTTGTGCTTTTCAAAATGTTCTGCGATATTTCGGAAGGTGTGACGTTCTAGGTAGCAGCAATTACTCAGGACTATTAACAGTCTCTGTTCCTAAAACCAATACAAATTTTTAGAAAAATATTTATAGTAACAAATTGAAAGTCTAACAGATAACATTTATCACTTGTTAAATTTAATTACAATCTCTTGGTGTTTAATATCAATATTCAGTGCTTTGTTTTCTTGGTTCCTTCTTTCCAGTAACAGGGAGAAACACAATACAATTCTATAATTCTACTAATTGCTCACTATGACATAACACACTATAGAGCCAAACGATGTTTGACTCAAATTCCTTTTGAAATTTATCAGCTGTATGGAAAAACAGATTGATGCAACACAGTAAACTAGTAAAACAGGATAGCTGCTTTCTTAGGAAAGGGATTCTACTTTATTGGTTATTCCACTTCATACGTTTTGCACCCCAAAAAAGCTATAAAAATGGATATTTAAAAATAACTACCAAAAAATAGAGAAACTCTCAGAAAATAATTTCTAAATTTCTTATAACTTGGAAGAGAATTGTAATGCCATCCATAGATGGGCTCCTTCAAACACCAGGCCTTCACAGAATTTCTTATGTAGAAGAGTCTCCCTCTTACGGGGACTCTCCCCCGGTCAGTCATGCAGGGCGCCAGTCTACACTCCCCAGGCTTCCCGCTATTTAAGGTGACTTCTTATCAAAATTACCAGACCCCCCAGGCTGATGAATCAATCATCCTCTCAGAGTTCAGAAGAACTGGCTTTCTAAATACAGTTCTGGGAATGGCACCGTCACTGTTCTTGGGGCTGTCTGAGCACTGTCCCTGCTCCCTCAGGCGTGAGGGCTTCTCTGGAACCACTGTGACTAACTTAGGGCCTTGGTTTAGATCCTTGACTAAAAACTAAGGCAGAACTCCTTCCTAGGAGAAGCTCTCACCCATACTTTGATCACTGCTGTGTACTAATCAGGGTAGCTTAGGTTAATGTCAGGAAGGCAGATGGGAATAAACAGGCCCTGGCAGGTGCACAGACCACAGGGCTAGGCTCACTGAGCCTGGATCACCCAAGAATTCCATTCAGCTCCCCCCAAATGTGTAAAACTTTCCATGTCTTTATTTAAAATTTTACTGTTTAGTTCTGGCAGAGTGTGGCCAATTTGCTGCCTTTTGTGGTCATCAACATATATAATTAAAAGGCCCAGGAATTATTACAGTGCTTTCAAAGCAATGAAAGTTTGTCAGTGGCCTGAATGACTCTATGGACAGGAAGTGGCGGCAAAAAAAAGCCCAGAACAAATGTGCTGTGCGTCTACTCCTCGTCCACGTTCTGTGTTCAAACCGCGTGAGGTGGGCACCAGGAGGTGACACGTGAGGCTGGGGGAGGCCCAGACCCCTGCCCACAGCTAACTATCACTGTTATGTGGCCCTTGTAAAGCGTGTGACATAAAGTCACCGTGACGCTTCATCAGCCACTCTGAGCAGTGGCATCCCAAATATCTCAACTGGTCTCTCAGCCCCAGGATCAATCCTTCACTACCCTCCAGGCACCGCCTCCCAGCTGCCCACCCCAGCCTGCCACACCTTCTCTGCCCTCTTCATTAATTAACTCTGGTTGATTTTTACCCTTGTAATCTGAATGGTTCTTCCCCCAGAATGGAAAAACTATTTGAGTGATTTGAATTCTTACTCTTAGTAAGTGTATTTTTTCCTCAAATATAACCAATCACAGGAAACAAAAGTGGGAAGAAAACCTGACAAATAATCAAATTCTTAAAATTGAATGACTCATCAAAAGCTGACAAACAACTCAGATGAATACACATGTTTGAAAATAACAGCTCAACCTATCCATGGCAGCACCTGCAGACTGAGGACTGCACGGCCTTGTGTACTGTTCTGGCTACCCCACAGCATCTCTGTGATGCGGCCATCAGGCCACCCTCCGTGGCATGCCCGAGGTTCTTCTGTCAGTAAGCAGCAGACCAGCAAGCGAACCAGAAACCTAGCCCTCTTTCTTCCCACAAGGTGCCTCTCTGCTGGATAACAGGACAAGACCCTAAGAAGATCTCAATTACCTGGACCAAATCTAACACGGTATCATCCAATGGGGAAAAACACAGGAACTGAATTTGGTTCCAAATCTGGAACAATTTCAGGAGAGTGAAATGGGACAGAGAAGGTCCAGTGACCAGCAGAAGCAAGTGCGAAGCATGCAGGGCTCTGGGTGACAGAGGAGAGGAGGCGAAGGCATGGCTCTGGGGGAGTCCTGGGCTCAGAGCAAGCCGTGTTTGCTCAAGAAGGGAACATGTGAGCACACGGCAGCTGCTCCAAACACTGGAAAGATAGTCACGTAGAAATTAGGCTTGTCCCAAAAGACCCAGAAGAAACGTGGTTGGCCAGACAGGCAGCAAGGCCTTTCTCTACTGAGAAGGATCCTTCCTCGCATGTCCTCTCCCATTCACAGCGGGAGAACAGTTTGAACTCACCACGTCGCCCTCCTCAGCTGCCACTCATCCCTGACCCAGCGCAGGCAGCTGCCCCTCGGCCATCCACACGCCCTCCCACGAGGCCTGGCTTCTGTCTGACCTGGCCTGATGCTCTGTCAGTCTGCGATACCGTTAAATATTCCTTTGCTTAAACGCGCTCTCCCACCTGTCCCTGGATTTCCTTCTCTGATTCTTCCTTCGCAGGGAACTTCCAGGCTCTCTGCCTCAGGCCTTCCCTTAAATACTGGCACCCTCAATATTATTTTTATATATTTGGCCCTCCTCTCCTCCTACTGTTTTCCCTAGTATTCTCATCCACTCCCAGGCCTTACACTGCTGACTCACAAATCTGTACCTAGATCTCTCTCCTGGGGTCCAATCACCCACTAGACATCCCACCTGAACATCTCTCATTCAACACATCTGGTCCCAAACTGAATTTTTAATCTTTCTTTAGAAACCATTTCCTTCCTGAATTCTCTTCATGAACAGTACTGTTATCTACCTAGTCACCCAAGTAATTAAACCTACAATAGCTTTTAAAAAAAAATTACTTTGATTAAACCCTATTTTTCCTAATATAACAAATCCTTATTTAGGAATTCAAACTTATAATAACTGTAGAAATTATATATGGCAGGAAATTTAGTTCACATGTTTTCTTTCTTGACAGGTACATACACATACACACACATCATTCAAGCTAATGACAAACCAGAAAGTGTTGTTTTTTTTGTCTGTTTGTTTTTTAGGATAGCTGGAGTTTGAATTTCAACAGCTAAATTCACATACAGGATAGAGTATATGTGTGAATCATTGCTAAACACATGCATATGTTTAAAATATATGTGTGTTTATAGAAAAGGTGATTTGGTTTTGGTTTTGCCATGGAATTTTGTGTTCAAATAAAATGCTATTAGGGAACTTAACAACAACAACAACAACAACAACAACAAATAGAGAAAAGCAGAGCTTCTCTGTTTAAAGAGGGAAAATGGGGAGAAACGGTGCCTGTCCTTTGCCTGCTCTCCAGCTTTCAAGCACCAGGGTACCACACTCAGGATCTCCACACAATGCAGAGAGGAGACGGAGCTACTTAAGCTGCAACTTCAGCTAAAAGATTTTTAAGTGTGGAATATTTACAAAATTATATTTTTACTAAAACTTTCACAAAATAAAACACAGCTCCAAAGTAAGAGTAGCATGCTACAGCAGTAATGTGGTAACAAAGTATTAATAATTTAGACTGAGTTGTGAAACAGTCATAATGACATGTTTTATAACAAATGACATTTTACTTTCTATTTATCATCTTCATTATCTATGATCTTACTTACAGAAGTCAAACTAAAGTCTTCATGGATACTTCCAAACAAATCAGGAGAAGAAACATCAACGGAGAGACTGAATAGAAAAGTAAGAGAACAAGTTAAAGCACTAAAATTAAAAATGGTAACATAATGTTATATGTCAATTATACCTCAATAAAAAATGCAATGAAACCTATGTAAACTTGACTTTAAAACCTCTTCGTCAAAAATCATATAACTTTCTGTTTTTTAATATTTAACACCTAACAGCTCAAAGTAGACACTGTGGACTATCTATTAACATGGGCCACATAAAATGTGCTTTTGGGGTCTTCCCAATAATTTAATTTCTAGGTATAGACTCTCATAACTGAAATGTTTTTGCCCATCAGAATCTAGAGGGGATTTTTTCAAGCTCACGTTCATAGTAAATGACTTGAGGTGAGCTGAGTTAGGAAATTAGTTAATTTCCTAACAAGTGACCAGACACAGAAAGCTGCAGGGGAGGAAACACCAAAGATCCACTGATTAATTACAGATACAGCAGAATCACAAGTAACACCTTAGCAGGATTCCTTTTCTTTAAATCTAACCAACTGATTTTAGAATTCATATGGAAGACTAAATAGATAAAAATATAAAATAAGTTTAAAATAAAGAAGCAATAAAAGGATAACAATCTGAAAAACATTTAAAAAAAAAAACTACTGGGCTTCCCTGGTGGCGCAGTGGTTGAGAGTCCACCTGCCAATGCAGGGGACGCGGGTCCGTGCCCCGGTCCGGGAAGATCCCACATGCCGCGGAGCGGCTAGGCCCGTGAGCCATGGCCGCTGTCCAGAGCCCTGCTCCGCAACAGGAGAGGCCACAGCAGTGAGAAGCCCTCTCAAAAAAAACAAAAACAAAAAGACAAAACTACTGATAATTAAAACAACAAACACTGATAGGAAACATTTGTGAACGAATAGAACCGAAGATAAAGTTCAGAAATACCTTCACTACATATTAGAATTCAATGATGTAAGGCACAGAAATTGTAACAAAACAAGAAGACAAGACTTATTTAATTCAAAACATCAGTAAACTGATTAACAATACAAATTCCTGGTAAATTAATGTGCTAATAAACATATAAAAATCAAAGAAAAACTAGAATAACTAAATATTTATTAGGTCTCAGAGAGATAAGTGTCTTATATACTGAGAGGCAAAAACCATGTAAACATGGAAATAGACAAACATGGAAAAAATTCCAGTTGTCAGTTATAGATTTAAGAGGCATTTATTTCAGTACCATCTGTGTCAGAGAGCATAAACCTTAGGTACACAGAAGTTACACATGCCAAACAGTCAGAAAAAGTAGGTTTAAAAAAAATCCCAGAGAGCAGCATTATAAAAGAATTATCACATGGATTTGGAAATATCAGGAATAGAGATGTGTCCTCTGGAGTTCAACTAACCTAGAATGGCCCAGACAGTGTCCCTTTAACAGGAGTGCCAGGGTAGCCCCCTGCACCAGAACCACAACAGCTATCAACGAGGAGTCACGCATTTTAACTCCCTATTTTATTATTTATAAAGCCTGTTCCTCTGGATAATCAGTAAGCTAACTGTGTGCTCAGTTTGTTCAATGTGCCCCTAGGAAAGGTGAGACAAGTTCAGAAGATGAAGAAATTGTGGAAAGAATACAGGCCAAATATATAAAAATATAATTCATATGGCTACTTGCTCTCTCTTATTGGAAGTCCCAGGGTATAAGACCAAATACAGAACAAAAGCCAGTATTTTCAATCCTGGTAAACGCATCGGTGAGGCTACTCTCAGCTCTACTTACTGTGCAGTATCTACATCGGCATCAGGCTTGGTGCTCAACTGTTCCAGACAGCATATAAAAACCTAAGTCAAAAATAAGACGTTTCAGTGGTATGAACGCTTAGATACTAATCTATTTGGACATTAAAGATAATTTTACATAAATAACCAGAAATACAGTGTATCTCTATTAAGTGGTATGTATGCATATATACCTTCTGTAAGTGGATAGACCATATGTCCCATATATAGAGTATATATTCACGCACACATAAAAGTATGTAAGCACTGGGAACACACATCCCAACGTATAATGCTAAGTGATAAAAAAATTTAAAGCACCTATGTTCTGATCCCATTGTTAAGTTCTTGAATGTATTTTATTTCCTTCCTCTCACTCATTCACTCATGCGTTCAACTGGGTTTATGTGCCCACAAGGCACTGGTCCCAAAGAACTTGGTGCTCTAGGTACAATGTAAACAACTGTCATGTCATTTAATCTGTGCTCTAACAGATATATACACACAAAGTACTGTGAGAACACAAAAAAGGGGAGCATAATAAAAATGAGTTATTGGGGTACTGCTAAGCAAGGTGGAACTAATCTTACCTTGAACTTATTTACCATAAACTATTATGTTCTCAGACAAGAAGGAAAAAAGAATCCATATTTAATATCTGCTATACACTGATTATGAGTAGGAGGGAAGACTAATAATTCGCATTATTTCAGGCTTCAGGGCATCAGTGCTTTTACAAAGTACCTGCATGATGTTGATGCTTAGTTGGCAAACCTCTTCCTGGGTTTTCGGTTGCTGAAAGACCTGTAAGGAAGAATGAGAATTGTTGTACTTGGCTAAGAAAACTTTTTGTTTATGAAGTTCGATATAAGAAGTTAACACGTGGGAAAGTGTGTCCAGCGTGGGTCACCTGACTCTGAAAGGGGACAGGAATGGAGAGCTGGCCTCGGGCCGAGTGACTGTGGTCTGAGTGACAGGGCAGCAGCTCTGGCATCGCAATGACCCAAACCTGCAAGGGGAGTCCCCGGCTGCCCGGCCCCCACCGCAGACGGCTGCTCTCAGACACTCACGCTGGCTTCTCCGGGCTTGCACTCCAGGACTTCTCGCAGCGACTGCAGGGAGTGCACCACGCAGCGCTCAAAGTGGCATGGCTGCAGAAGACAAAAGCAACAGGACCTGGGCATGCAGACCCCGAGCAGAAGCAAACTCGGCCCTGATGCCCAGATTTCCAGACGTGAGGAAAGGGATGGAGACACACACAGCCTCCCCGCCACCCGGACCTAGACCTGGCATGTTCTGCACTTGATATTTAAAGACCATGAACCCTGACAGTTGGAAGCACATCTAATTCAATTAGAATAGAAGTTGGGTAGAATGAGAATTTTTCTTCAAAATTCTACTCTCCTGAGAGGCAGATGCCGGGATGAAGCGCAGACGTAACATACTCTGGGACGAGCTCCATCTCCCGGGCCTTCCTCATCTCCCAGGGGACGTTAGTATGATGACCCAGAGGAAGGCCGACCTTTCATTCCAACCATCTCTACGGTCACCTTCTATGCCCATCAAGTCAGAAATGAAACCTGAAAACATGTCCAACAAATGGGCTTCAGGATGAGTCTGAATGAGCCCTAACTACACCTCCTCGTGCCAGGCCCACTCCAGGGGACGGTGACACGTGTTCTCGTTACGTGTACATTCTGGGATGGAGTCGACAAAACTGTCACTTCTACAAAAAAAAAGTACAGAAATAAAATAAGTGGACTGCAAAGTAGAGTAAGGGCCATGAAGAGAACAAGCGGGCACTCAGAGGAAAACTGATGGAGGGGTTCTGCCCTAAGCAGGAGAAGCCCCTGAGCCAGTGACAACATCCAAGCTGAGACCAAGGGCAAGAGGGGCCGCCCCCGGACAGAGACAGGAGGGGCCTGGACGTGCCGAGTCACCACCACGGGCCAGAGCCTGGTAGAGCCTGCACGGGGCAGGGCAAGGCTCAGTTCAGCTGAACCAGCTCTGGGCAAAATCTGCTTCAATTACTAAAAGAACTCAGGGAAAAATCGAACAGAAAAAAAGACACACCTGTATACAAACCAAAGAAAGACAAGTTTACTCTCTCACAAAAAGGAATCCAGGCTTAAGGAAAACTAATAGCACCTCAACTTAATGTCATTTTAATACTGCACTTTGGAGCCACCAGAGGGCACCATAAAGAACATGCAAAAGTCTTTAAGTGCAGAGAAAGAAGGTCGGGGGCGGGGGCGGGGGCAGGGATGATGTGACAGAAAATACCGCCTACAGAAAGTAAAGTCCTGGTAGACACCGGCCTTACGAACCCACCTACCTGCCCCAGAAGGTAGGAAAATCTAAGATGTTACAATAATAACACTGGGAATTCAACCCCAAATCCAATGGCAGGCAGTTCAGTGTTCCTGTGCTGTTTCCTAACTGTCTTGCCTTAGAATGTGAACAGAGAGCCCGGAGAGCACTGCCAGTGGGAAAGGGAGCGCATGAGTCTACACAGCTGCGATTTCTTTTTTCTGAAAAGAAAGAACAGGCACTATCTCTGCATTTTGTCAGTGAATCACCCAAGCTGCTGATTATAACATCACATATCATTCCAGTTATTCTGAAAGGAGAAAATTCTCAGAATTATCCAAACTGAAAAAAGGCAGAAAACATTTTCAACAAGAGTAGAAAACAGGATGCTCTCCAACGAGCTGTTTCAGACACTCAGCTGAAAGCACAGCCATGGGGGCAAAGCTCATGTGCATTTCTTTAACTTGATAAGGACTCACAGGGAAAGAAAAACATCCTTATTTCAAACAAATGGGATCAGTACTATGTAAATGCTAAGAAAATGTAAAGTAGTGTATGTAATAGCCTTTGAGACAACTGACTCTCTGTTCAAAACCTGAGAATTTCAGATGTTAGGTAAACACTCAAAGCTGGACCCTGGACATTGCTCTAGGCCTGGATGTACCTTCCCTCTCACGGGAAGTCTGTGCCCACAGCTGACAGCAGGCTCAGCTCCCAGAGGCCTATGGGATTACTAGCACATTTCTTCAACAACGTCCAATAAGACACACTGGCTGGCACCAAATCACCAATAAGTGGCTTTAGATCTCTGGCTTGTGCGTCACCAAACACGAGACCAGCTACGCTATGGATACAGTATCTTACCATGTTACAAACTTTAAATTTATTAGAAACAAGCCTCTACAGTAACCACTTCGAAGGACTTTCATGGGGGCTTATCTACTACAAACAAACAAACAACCTTAGATGTGGCTGTTATCTCACACGCACACACTGGGGACCCAGATTTGCAGCCATCACACACGCACACTAGACTGCGTGTACAAAAAACACTAACCTGAAGCCAATACCTATTTTATGACTAAGTTGTTCATATTTTGTCCTTTTTTTTTTTTTTAAATGAACATAAATCCTTGAAAACAGATGCTCCGTTTTCTCAAATTGAACACACATCTTTTTCTTTGCACAAGATGACCTGAAGCTGGTACTAAGAACCCAGGGTCAGGGCTGTGCTGTCTGCTCTGCCTGGCTTGTTTCATTTGGGGCAGTAATTCAGCAGTGCTGGTCCAGCGATGTCTCTGGCCTGCCATCCAGGCCTGCTGTGATAATTAGGGATGACAGGGGCATAGGATAGAGCTTTGATAATAGTAAGGCTTTACGTACATTTAAGGTATTTTTATCATAGTGGTCCCAGTACTACAAGTATTAGTTTAATAAATTAAAATTCTCTGTATGTGTATAAAGCTTTGTATTACAGCTTTTTTCTACAGCATCTCATTTAATCGTAACCAACACCACTGTGAACAAGCATTCTGCTTCTTTAACTAGAGGCAGAGAGGTTAAGTGGCTTCTGAAGATGGCACGGCTACTGAGACAGAACTGAGGACGTAACCAGACCAGACACTGAAGCAGCACAGGGCCTTCCCTCCACACCAGTGCCGCCCAACACAAGTGCAGTGTGAGCCACAAACACACGTCATGTACGTAATCTTAGATTTTCCAGGAACCACAATAAGAAAAGTAGAAGAAAAACCTAAATTTTAGTTTATAACGTGTAATATATCAAAAATTATTTCAACATGTAGTCAATACAGACAGTTGAGATCTTCTTTCTTTGGAGTCTGAAGCTGTGCCAAGTGGCTGCTGTGCTGGGTGGTACCGTCTGCTCTACACCTCCTTCCTCTAAATACTGGGTGGGCCAAAAAGTGCCTTTGATTTTTAAGTAAAAATAAAAGACACATTTTTCATTTTCACCAAGAACTTTACTTAACAATGTATTCGCCCTTTTGTTCCACTACCTTCTGCCATTTTCAGGCAACTTCATAATTCCATCTTCCCAAAACTTTTTATCTTTTTGAGCAAAGAACTGTTCCAGGTGCCTTTCACAGTCTTCCAGGGAATTGAATTCTTTTCCATTAAGAGAATTATGTAAAGACCGATAAATGAAAATCTGAAGGTGCAATGTCTGGTGAATATGGCAGATGAATCAGAACTTCCCAGCCGAGCTGTAACGGTTTTTGCCTGGTCATCAAAGAAACACGTGGTCTTGCATCATCCTGATAGAAGATTATGCGTTTTCTGCTGACTAATTCTGGATGCTTTTCATGGAGTGCTGCTTCCAGTTGGTCTAACCGGGAGCAGTACTTGTTGGAATTAATCGTTTGGTTTTCTGGAAGGAGCTCATAATAGAGGACTCCCTTCCAATCCCACCACACACACATTACCTTCTTTGGATGAAGACCGGCCTTTGGTGTGGTAGGTGGTGCTTCATTTCACTTGCCCCATGATTTCTTCCGCTCCACATTATTGTACAGTATCCACTTTTCATCGCCCATCACAATTTGTTTTAAAAACTGAACGTTTTCATTACGTTTAAGTAGAGACTCGCATGCGGAAATACGGTCAAGAAGGTTTTTCTCGCTTAACTTATGTGGAACCCAGACATCAAAGCAATCCACATAACCAAGCTGGTGCAAATGATTTTCCAACACTTGATTTGGATATTTTGATTTGGATATTTTGAGATATGTCGGCTATCTCCTGCGTGGTATAACACTGATTGTTCTCAATTAATGTCTCCATTTGATCACTGTCAACTTCAACTGGTCTACCCAACTGTGGAGCACTGTCCAGTGAGAAATCTCCAGCACGTAACTTCGCAAACCACTTTAGACATGTTCTATCAGTCACAGCACCTTCTCCATATGCTGCACAAATCTTTTTCTGCATTTTGGTTGTGTTTTTATCTTTCTTGAAATAATAAAGCATAATACGCTGAAAATGTTGCTCTTCTTCTTCCATCTTCAATATTAAAATAGTTACACAAAAATTCACCAATTTAGATAAGTCTTTTTTTTAAATGCACGCTGATATGACAGGTGTCACATACAATCTAACAAAATTGTTTCAAATGAAGTTAAATACAACTAAGTGCTACTAGAGCATCTGACGGAAAAAACCGAACGAACCTTATGGCCAACCCAATATTTAGTTATAGGATAGTTTGTATTTAAACATAAATACTTCTGAAAAATAAACCAAATAAAACAAATTTTTATTAAAATTAAATCCTTTAAAATATAATTACAGGGACCTCCCTGGTGGTGAAGTGGTTAAGAATCCGACTGCCAATGCAGAGGACATGGGTTCGAGCCCTGGTCCAGGAAGATCCCACATGCCGCAGAGCAACTAAGCCCGTGTGCCACAACTACTGAGCCTCCGCTCTAGAGCCTGCGAGCCACAACTACTGAGCCCGTGTGCTGCAACTACTGAAGCCCGCGCCCCTAGAGCCCATGCTCTGCAGCAAGAGAAGCCACCACAATGAGAAGTATTCCCACCGCAATGAAGAGCAGCCCCTGCTCGCCACAACTAGAGAAAGCCCATGTGCAGCACTGAAGACCCAATGCAGCCAAAAATAATAATAAGATTTAAAAATATACATATATAATTATAAGACTTATTAAAAATAAATTCCCCTAATTTCAAGCATGATTTAATTTACAAAAATTTGGAAGTAAGCACTGCTGTTCCAAACACACACTTGTACAGCTTTGTATTAACTTAAGAAAGAACTTTGAACTTTGGAGGAAAAGAAGAATTTCAACTTGTCAGAAATTCCCCAACTGAGATTGGGACTGACATATATACACTAATACGTATAAAATGGATAACTAATAAGAACCTGCTGTATAAAAAAATAAATAAAATTCAAAAAATATCCCCAATTGTCAGAGAAAGGCTGTGGACAAGCACACAAATTCAAGGACATGAAGAAATGTTACAGGGGGTGGTTGCTCCTCAACAACCTGAGCCCCACTACTTTGTAAATGTGAGCAAGTCAGACCGTTTTATTCCACTGTACCTGTCTACTAAGGTAAGGCAGAAACTGTTGGGGCCAGGATTGTGCTCTGCTGAAAAACTACATTTTTTCCAGCCTCCGTTGCAGACAGGGGTAGTAGGCACGTGGATAAATTATGGCCAATTAGATGTAAGCAGAGTTGTCAGCTGTGGCTCCCGGGAAAATGCTGGACTTCCCTGCTGACAGGAATAAGGCTGTGGTGGCTGGAACTGCAGTGGCCATCCCGTGTCATGAGGCCATCCTGAGAGAGGAGCCACACTAAGGGTCACAAAGCAGGAGTCAGAGGAGCCCTGGACACTGCCCGTACTACATGACAAAGCTGCCACACCAGTCCCAACCTCTTTAGTGGGGGAGAAAAAGGAAATGCCCTCTTCTTTAGGCCACTGAATGTTTTAACCTTGCCTGACACCCACATACAGGTTGCTGTGGGATCCATGGGACAGACTCAAAAACACGAGAACTCACAAACTCTAACACTAATACTATTTTCAAGGGGATTCTGAAAATCTCAAAGCCCCATCTGAAAAGATGATTATTCCAGAGCGAACAGACCATGGTTTCAACTGCCCACCTGACCCCTGCATGCGTCTGGAGAAGTTCGCTGTTGCCTGTTTTGCCTTAGGGCCCAGCAACAGCACTGGTTTCCTATCGTGCTTTTCTGAAAAATTCAAATTGCTGGGTAACTTAGAATTACATTAAAAAATGAAACACAACAAAAAATAGTTAAGAGTCACAGGATGAAGAAAGATCACTCTAAAGGGGGATCCACTGTTTTTACTCAGTTTTAAATACCTGTGGTTAGCGTTAAGCAAAAATGACTCTGAGAAGGAAAACTTTAAGAAGTTTGCTTCTGCATTTCCAGAAACGTTTTAGAGTTGCAATAGAGAGCATATGCTCATTATCAAAATAAATCAATTATTTTGAATATAACAGACACTAATGATTAATCACCAAAAAGAATTTAAACTTACTAGGGACGTCAGGCCTTCACTGTCGACAACCCAGTCTTCCTTTTCAGCCAATCTCTTTACTTCTAGAGGGAACACAAGTACACGAGCGCGTCTTATTATAATTATCTCACTGAACTTCAGAGAGATAAAAATGCATAAAGGTTATGGTTTTTAATTGTTTTATATAAGTTTGTAAAAAATCAGTGAAAGTAGGGAGAGAATATAATTCTGGTAGACTCAAGGATTTAAGTGTGTATCACTCACTGGATTTTTCTAATACAACATTAATGTAAATAAAATTGTCTACTGTGTAGCCCAATCTGGAGAATGCTGGGCTAGGTTCAGTGACAGCTTCAGACAACAACTTAGTAGTTACTCAGCACTCCTGATAATATTAAACAGGTACAATACAAGACACACGGCATTTCCCCCTAAGATTTCTGATGACCAAAGTGGACTCTCTCTCAGTCCTGTATGCTCCCGATGATGACAACGTGATTCCCACGGAGGGAAGAACACGACCAGTGCACACCTGAGGGCTCAGCCCCGACCCGGGCCAGGGGCCGGTGCTGTGCAGACACAGCCTTCCTACAGCAAAGTCCTTGGGACAGATACCAACGGCTTGTGCCTTTCACAACAATAGTCTTGATTGTTTTTGAAAATGTTTAATAACCCAAAAGGCTGCTTTGTAAAGATAACCTTCATTGTTTATGACTATATGCAGAAATCCTGAAAACTCTATAAAAGTATAAAGAAAATGAACACCTATAACTTCTGCGGCAAAGAGAAACTGTTAACAGTCTTTCTTCTGATTTTATGCTGACATTTCTAAATTAAAAATTTTAAATATACATATATATATTTTCAAAATTGGGATCATACTTTTATACACATTTTATATTCGACTTTTTCCACTTAGCATTTTCCATAAGGATGTTCTTATATCCTTAAATATTTTTCAAGTATACCCATCTTAATTTATATATGGTCTGGCATCTCAAAGTAAATAGATTTGAAAAGTTTCAAAAAAGGAAAAAAGTTATATTGAGCAGCTAAAGACAGTCTGAAATACTCAGATTTCTATCAGAGCATCTTTAATGTTTTTAAGGATTTGGAAGCTGGAAAGAGGTGGCATGTGCAAATAACTGTTGTCTAGCCAATGTCATCAGTTTTTCTCAACATACCTTCCGCTGTGTGCTGCAGTGTGACCACCACACAACGCACTCGAAGGTCCAAGACGAGGTCCTGGATCGTCTGTAACAGGTCATTAGGAATCTCAAGGGCAGTCAAGGATTCATAAGTAAGCCTGTAGAACAAACACAGCAAAACAAATGTCAGCAGAGCAGGATCTGGAAGCAATTCCAGACATCATTTTGGCCATCCCACAACGATTCACAATGGTGCTTATAAGCTACAGCGTTATGTTGAAAACATGGGGAAAGTAAGCCCATTCACAGGGATATCACAGTGACACTGAACTAAACAATGAAAAAGGTGACATTCTCATCAGACAAAAGCACCAGCAAGGTTTAAGAGCTTAGTTATCAGGTGACGCACGGGAAACAGTGGACACAAAAGGAGACAGTAAAATTCTGTGTTGAGTGTATTAAAAATCATATCCACACTGAGTGTGTGGTGTTTCCTCCTTTTCCGGAGAACGCGCCCACATTTACCTCAGAGTCTGGATGGCGTGAGCGAGCCCCTGCCCAGAGAGCTCGGCCTTCACTTCCCAGCCTCTGCACTGCCGCCCTCCGCCCTCCGTGACGCTGAGCGGGAGCAGGGCCCCCCGGAGCAGCTTCACCAGACAGTGCATTACTTCCTGGATCATTTTCTAGACAATGATGAACAAACAAAACTACATTAAAAGGTATCAACTTGATTAAATCAACTGGAAGAGTCGGCCTGCACAAGACAAATGTCTTCAATGTACATCAAGGTCTCTAGTCACTTTGCTTGAGAAAACCCTACCCCAAGAAAAAGTCTACATACCTATCCTTAACTCACCTTAAAATCATTTTGTCTTTGCCTTACATTCTTTGATCTTTCAATGTGGCCTGACTTCTCAGCAGTCTTAAAAATTAAAAAAAAAAATTAGTTGTCTTTAGAAATAATTTATAAAAAAAAGAAATGCTTTAGCAGTTGTATATAAAGAAAGCATGAAATATAGTTATAACTTGATTAAAAGGAATGTATAAGAAGTAATCTAAGTTTCTGATTAAAGGATGACCAATTAGAAAACCCTTCTTATTCCAACAAGAAGCTATTCATCTTCCTAAAACCTTTAAGTACAATTCTCATAAATAAACCTAAGTATTAAACTGAAACTTTCTGTAGGTGAATTTCACATGCTGTTTTCATCCACAGTTTTCTACAGTTAAGCCTACGGGCATTCAGTCCACAATGCCGCTCCAGCACCACTTCCCGGGCAGTGGGTGCAGAAACGAGAGGAGCAGAAGCTCTGGACAAGTGTCCGGACGCCTTTGGACACCCCGCTCCACTCCTCCCGACAGTTCTCGTGAACATGAGCATTAGCGCTGGCATTTTACTTTAAAAAATTCCACATCACTGCTCTTCTTCCAGGGGCCTCACAGTCTAATTTAGGAGGGAACGTATTCTAGAATTGGTTGTTATCTGTTTACTGATAGCCATGTTTTCCTCTGATTTCTTTCTCCTTAATGTGTAGAAGACCACTTTACACTGATTAAATGAGAAATCTGTTCCACTGGATTTCAGTTAACTTTTTATTACCAAATTTTCTAACAACTAAATATTATTATACAGAATGTCCTAGCAGAGCAAACTTAGGGAACTTTCCAAAGGAAGAAGTAATCACAAAATGGTACAATGTAAAAGAAAATTCAGATACTTCACCAACATAATGTAAAAGTTACCCTTTAAAGGTAAAATACTGGTGTATTTGGTTAGAGAACTTTTTACTTAGGAACAACTGCATTATAAATAATTATGACATTGATGCCAAGGTAATTTTAAAATACTTCAAGGTATGCTATTTCTATTTAAGGTATAAGCTAGAGAAACAGTGTGGAGAGTTGGTCTACAGGATCAACACCATTGACGGGAAGGAGTAAGACAAGGATAAGGATTGCTGACGTCTTCAACAAAGTATCAGACACCCTGACAGAAGAGGCCAGCACACACAGACACACACACCTCTTCCGGAGCTAATTTACACTTATCGTGCAGCTTTTATCATTTTTTTCTTTGTAGAGATGCGCTTTTAAAAGAATTTAAGTTTAGTTTTTAAAAAAACCAAACCCCAAATTCACAATAATAATTCAATAAGCAAATTTCTAAGCTCATTGGCCAACAACCATCAAAATTCTTTGTATATCAGGATTTACAGAAATTGATTCTTTTTAGGACAAATGAGAAGTAACTGAAGCGTTTTAGAGCTGCAGTGAGGCATGACCAGAGGGGCTCATGTCGGAGTTTGACCAGCTACAAAGACAAGAGACACAGGGCAAGGTGTGGGGAAAGGGGTGGAGTCCCCTGCCCTCTGCAGGTGGGACACTCTCCCCAACCTCCACGTGCCCTTTGGGGGTTTTATGAAGGCTTCATTAAGTAGACACGATTGATTAGATCACTGGCCACTGGTCACTGAACTCAGCCTCCAGCCCTTCTCCCAGAGGTCTGGGGGTGGGACTGAAAGCTCCTACCCTCTAAACACAGGGTTGGTCCTCCAGACAACTAGCCCCCATCCTCAGGTGGGAGACACTCATTATCACAACAAAAGGCATCTTTTACCACTCCTCACTTAGGAAGTCACAATATCAAGGGTGAGCAAGATCAAATATATATTTCTTATTATAAATCTCCAGATCACCGTTCCAAATTTACACCTCCAGCCCAAATCTTTCCTCTGAGGTCCAAATTTGAATTTCAGGTTGCCTACTTGGTGTCCGCAGAAGGCCTGGGCAGAACAAGGTGAAACGGTGGTGCTTCTGGGTCTGGAGTTTGCTGGCCTCCAGCTGGGAACTGCAGGGTCTCCAGCGTGCTGATTGCGGACTCTGGGGCTTGCTACCCTCCACAGTCACACGAGCCAACTCCTTAGAGTAAAGCTCATTCTCTTTATATACACGGTTGGAAACAGAGCCAACACCCTATTGGTTGTTCTTCTGAGCCCTGGCTCACTGTGCTGTGGAGGACGGATGGGAAGGGCCTCTGGAAGAAGGTGTCATCTGTCCCCGGGAAGGGTCAAGCCCACACAAACCTGCAAGTGTCCCGTCAGATGGGGTCTTTTCTGGTTTTATCTGCCGTAGCACCTAACGCTGAATTTTTTATACAATGGGCTTGTTCAAGGGGAAGATTATTTCACAGTCCTTTCTTTGTTCTGTGAAATATTTTTGAATCAAAAGAGTGAAAATCAATTGTTTGAAAAACATCATACCAAAATTTAGGTTAAACTTTGCCAGAACAATTCTGCCCACCAAACAGGTGCTAATGCACGCATGATGACACCTACTGGACAGAATAACTATTTAAACATCGAGGGCCTGTCTCCAAACACAAAAGAAGTGGAGAGGGTAGGGGAACTACCTGTAAGGCATACCTCTTGCAATTGTTAAAAAAATCGTTACTTATTGTTTTAATCTGATGAAGAGTTGAACATCTCCAACATGCTGCATTATGTACACTTTGCCCTACTTTTAAAAGAAAATTTAATTTTGGAACAGAAAGGACACTGTAATTTACATACTATGAGTTATGCAATTTTTTAAAATGCTGATTCCTAAAGTTTAAAAATTATTTGGATACTTTAAAAGTTTTCACCTCAAAATACACTACATTTAAAATATATCTAAAGGTAAAATCTTAACCTACTATTAACCATTTTGCTAGCTAAAAACCTTAACTCTTTCCTGCACACACAGACCAAAACTACTTTGTGGTAAGACCAACGGCTAGATCGCACTGTTTTGATTCACATATGTTACCTCACATGGCCTTGACTGGTCTGAAGAACTATTTGTTAAACTGTTGGAAACTCCATCTAAATCTTTTAACAGATGAACTCGAAATAAAACAAAACAGTTTTACAACAAGAAAAAATAAGAAATTCCAAGTAAATTGTGTTTAAATATTAAGAGAGCTTTCTTGTATGAGATTGAAACCCTGGAACTCTTCCCAATATTAATTTAATTAAGTCTCTGGATCTCACTCATGACATGATTGGCACCCTTTCCTAACTCCTCCATTCCTTCCACTGTCCTCTGGTGTCTTTCTGGCTTTTCAATAGAGAGTCACTTAGTTTAAAAACATGCCCAAATCTGTACAGTGAATTACACTTAATAATTATTACCATAAACTTTTAAGAAAAGTTTATGAGTATAAACTGTTGGAAATTCCACAGGCACACCCAACTCAGCACAACTGATCACAGTGATTTTCCAGTGCTGTGACTCCTGAGCTCATTTATTCCTCATCTGCAACCGAACACTTCATCTAGACGTTTAGACAACTAGGTATAACCTGTGAGAAGGAGAATACCGTCCCTTTTCACTAAATCATCTCAGATCAAAAAACCCTAGAAAGATGCAAGATGAGGCAACTACTGTCCATGCGTGGGGGCCACCTCCAGACACCGCTCCAGTTGGAAGGAAGACACTCGGCTGGAAACAGAACTAGTTTTCCAGACGTTTCCTGGGTTCTGCTCCTTCACACGTGAGAGCCCGCCTTGGCAACGTTCAGCACGTCTCTGTTCTACGTCAGTCCCACACTTCTCACCACTACTAAGCTTTGTTCGTGAAACACCTACTGTGTGCCAGGCCAATGACACTTCAAATACTGGAATAAATATTTACTCCAAATAATAAGAGCAAATTCTTTTTTATCTCCCCGACACGGTTATAAGCACTTCACTTAATATTAACTCATCTAATTCCCAAACCATCCCCCTGGAAGTAGGCTGAGAAGTAACGGTATCTGCCCAAGGTCACAGCTAGTAAGCGACACACACTGGGTGTTCTACTCTAACCCTGGCGCTCTGCAAGAGACGCTGTGAACACAGCTGTCCAGGCACTGGCATGGAAGCGCCTCCCCTTTCCAGTCTCACAAGAGCTCTGCTTTAGAGGGAGCAGGTAAGAGGAGGAGGGTACAACACGGCAGGAGCGGGTGGCTGTCCCCCACTGCAGCAAAAGGCAAGAAACCCAAACCTTCCCCACCACAGAGGCCGCCACTCTCATCCAGCTGCCATGAACAAGAATGCGGGCTGATCGGGCACGTCTGAAAGCACAACGCTGAGAAAACTCTTTTCAGGACACCTAAAGGCACTCTCTTCTTCAGGCAGCAATGAAGGCCAGCCAAACTCTACACATATTTTATGGAAGACTGACTTTCTCTGCACAGTGAACTTTTTAACAGAGCTTTTGTAAAATAACCAGGTAATACAAAATGGACATGAAAGAGTTGTGAGGTATGTTATTTATTGCTATAATATTTGAATGTGTCAGTAACTGATACACTGCTGAAATTAATGTAAGAAAAAAAGAGGGATAACTCATGCTTAAGAGGTAGGTTTTTCTGCATGAAGGAGTCTGTTGTTTTGCATGCACTATTGTTTTTCTGTTTTTCATGTACTAAGTAAATTTTATGGCTTAGATAACTAACCTTTCATTTAAACAAACATCTAGGGATCTACCACGTTAAAAGGAAAAGAGATAGTGGCAAACTTCTTTAATAGCAGCATGAGCATGTATCCATGGTCAAAGGAGACTGGATGGATCCTGGAGAACCAAGACACCCACCACCTTCTGTCAAACTGCAGAGGTGTCCTTGGTGTAAAAGAGCAAAAGCGGTTTTGTGCTGGCAAGTGCACTAGCCCCAGGAAGACCCCGCCTCTCCCAGCTTCCCCAGGGCTGTGAAGAGTCTCCTCGGAGATACGAAACCAGAGCTGTCTTCTCCTGAGCCACCACAGCTCCAGGCAAAGGGCCTCAGAGTCTATATTCTGGGACCTGGAGGCCTGTCATGGGCACTTGACGTGAGACAACTGAGTGACGAGTCCGAATCTGTGTGCTACGCACAAAAGTCAAGAGTCGTTACTTTACGCTCGTAATTTCCGTGCTCCAATTATACATGATTAGGACACTAAGTACACGTGCAACTTGTGAGAGCGTAAAGCCTTAAACAACTTCTCCAGGCTGATCACATAGGGGCCAGAAAACAGGATCTTTAAGTTCTTTCCAACTAGGAAGTTCCCTCTCACTTGAGACCCACGTGCAAGATGCAAACATTTGATCCCTGTTGTATCACCTGTTCATCATCAATTGCACGACAGTTTCATCCACCACATGGCCTGACTGGCATTATACTCAATTCAGATTCTTTTATTCTTTAAGCCACTGTTTCCCTGAGCACTCACCCCTGCCTTCTGAGAGAGACCCTCACTGTTCTCCTTTACAATCAAGGACAGTGACTCCCGGAAGAGTTGAGTAACTTGTTCAAGGCCATACAGCTATTAAGTGTTAGGGCTTTACAGCATTTTCTACTAACCTTAAAACATCTGACAATACTTAGAGGCTTTGGGCTTCTGAGGCTTTAAAGAAGTCACTTCAAAATCTAAAATTTTTAAGACTAGAAATCCACGACTTAGCTACAACTATAGTCAAATCTGCACACATACCTCACTGAAAAGGCTTCCGTTAACATATGAAATCCAGAGTTTCCAGAAGTTGGGCAGCTGACTTAAAACAAGCTTGGTCAATTTTTCAACAAATGCCACCCGGTGGGGAGTTTGGTATCTCCATGCTAAAGAGGAAAAGAATAAAATACTATTAATATCCTTTGGAATCAAGACTAAAAATGCGTTTGAACATACTGCTGCTCCCCCACCTAAAAACGTGCCCCGTGCTGTCCCACTTGGGCTGCAGATTTTTATCTGCTGATAGACCAGTATTTCCTTTTCCCACCAACTACCAACGCCTGTGGCGGCACAGTGAGCAGAGGGGCCTGCTTGCTCAGCGGGTCTGGCGGGGCAAGTGGGGAGCGGAGGCAGGACAGGAGACCTTCACAGAGGAGGGGCTTCGGCTTTCCAATCCTGCTGTCTTCAGGTTGTAACTCAGTGGTGGAAACTCAGTAAGGAATCAAATTATCATAAAGGGACATATTCAAGCACAGTCATGTAATTAAAAACTCCTCCCATAACAAATACATTTAACAGAAAGTAAAAACACTGAAGCCTCTTGGATAACACATCATTTAACGCAGTTATTGTAGAAAGTGGGAAACAAGGTCTGACAGATTTCTTGTGGGAAGAGTAAGTTCGAGGGAATAAAGGTGAAAGTATCAGGTCTGCGAGCACCAACTATTTCCCAATCCCCCCACCCTTTATCACCTACAGACCAACTCAACATGGACTGACACGAGCTGCTTTCCAACGGTGGCAGTAGCAGACCTGGCGTGGCCACAGCTCCAGTATCACAGGCCAAGGACAAGGCAGGAGACAGGACAAGATCTAAAACCTGAAGCTTTAGAAGACCCACCTCATAAGGGTGCAAGCAGACTCTTACACAGGATAGTCCCCAAAATTAATTTCGAAAGACTAATTTTTTGAAAATTAGTTTCAAAAGATCCATGCTCCTGCAGCCGAACTGATCTCCGGTTTGCATCCCCTGCTGGGAGAGCTCATCGGGCTCCCGAGCTCACAGATCCTCGGCCAGGTCTGCGGGGAACACGTGAAAGTGACCCAAGCTGACGAGTCCCCCTTGGTCTGAAGTTGCGACACCCAGGTGGCTCTGTGTGCGCACACGTCCTGCACACACACCGTCTGCTCCCAAGAGCAGTCGGCACAGAGGATGCCTCCGCCCCAAGGGAAAGAGGGAACACTGCCTTCTCACCACTTAAAAAGAAATCTTTTTAAAAACCACAAAATAAACAAATAGGAAGTAAACTCAGCTTCTCTCTTGTTGAATCCACTAATTAGTAAGTATTCTGGGCTTCCCTGGTGGCGCAGTGGTTAAGAATCTGCCTGCCAGTGCAGGGGACACAGGTTTGAGCCCTGGTCTGAGAAGATCCCACATGCCGCGGAGCAACTAAGCCCATGCACCACAGCTACTGACCCTGTGCTCTAGAGCCTGTAAGCCACAACTGCTGAGCCCGCGAGCCACAGCTACTGAAGCCCATGAGCCTAGAACCCATGCTCCGCAACAAGAGAAGCCACTGCAATGAGAAGCCCGTGCACCGCAACGAAGAGCAGCCCCCGCTCGCCGCAACTAGAGAAAGCCGGCGCGCAGCAACGAAGACCCAAGGCGGACAAAAACAAATAAATAAATGTATATAAAAAAGAAACAAGATGAACAAGTATCTATGTGGGACGATTTTACGATGGGAAAAGCATCTGGACAAGTATAAATAAAAACAAACCAATTCCAACAGGCTTCCAAAAGGATTCTGGATTCCATTGGCTGAACCTTTCTATAGCAGATAAACTGATAAAATGATTTTGTCTGAATTCCCCTTGGGATGGAGCGTCCCCGCCAGAGGTGCACACTGGCTGCAGGGCCGTGTTACCGAGGGGCTGGCACTCAGGCACCAGGGCTCTCGGAAAACACACGGGCTCCTGCAGCCTCCTGCCCGGTGACAGGGAACAATTCTGAGGGTCATGTGTTTTTGATCTTTTTATCACCAGCAGATTCTTTACACCCACGTGTGTATGTGTGTACTGAGAGCCCTTTCCCCTTGTTCCTTCTAAGCCTACTACATCCAAATTCTGATCATTATAACTAAAAAATGATTTTGGATTTTCTTTTCTTATTGATAAATTCCCACATGCTCTATCACCGAAAGAATAACTTTAAGAGTTATCTCCTAAGACTGATGAAAAGAACTAAGGGAATATGGCAGGAGTATCTAATTTGTCTCAATAGAAGTCATAACGTAGGCTTTTTTTGATCACAAGATCAAGAATGAGCTTCCTCAACTTTATTCACAGCTATTGTTTACTGCAAGCAATCCCTCATAGTGTTCCAATTTCAATAACTCTGGAGAAATTAAAGCTGACTTACTTTGCTTTCACTTCTAGCCATGCTGGAGTAACAAGGGCTGGATTTAACCTCTGGTGGTGAACAACTAGAAAACTGTGGGGCGGGGGTGGGGGTGGGGGAATATCTAAACAAGCATTTCATAGGCAGCACAAGACTGTGATCCCTCAGGGAAGGGGAAGTGAACAGGTGGGGAGCCCACAGCTGCTCTGGATTTCTGCCTGCCATTTCTAGACAAGAGAGGTCAAGGGAGGAGGAACTGAAGCAAAGCTCAGTGGGCTTTCGGAGTTGGAAAGATGGAGTTCAGGGCAGCGGGGGTGAGTGGATGATACATGGAAGAGTTCTGGAAAGGAGGGAGGAACTACGTGGGAAAAAAGCTCCCAGAATCCACATAAGAGTCTTCCTAAGTCATGCTCATGTCCAGTGAACTTCACAGCCAGGCAAAGAGCAGCCAGGGAGTAGTAAGGCCAAGGGTTCCCAGGAATCATACGGGAGGGGAGCAGTCCTCCTGAGTGACCCCAGGCCGTTCAGGAGTGGCCTCAAGTCTCCCTGGAAGGTAGGCTACTGCTCCAGCAACTAACCACAGGCCTTGGATGAATCAAACTTATTTGCAAGTAACCGGTAAAACAAAGTCTCACACTCTTTAAAGGAAGAGAACAAAACCCCGACACTCAACACTGAACATTCCCAGTGTCTGAGAAACAATGAAACATGATTAACCAGGCTAAAAGGGGAAGGAGAATCAGAACCAGAAACCAGGGAGAAAACTAGTCAAGAGTAACAGAGCCACAAATGACAGAGAGAGAATTAACCTGTAAGGACAATGTTCAAGTAAAGGAAAACGTGAAATAATGAGGAAAGAAAGGCAAGATATTTAAAAGAACCAAATGGAACTTCTAGAGATGAAAAAGTACATGAAACTTTTACATGAAACTTCAGCTTAGATGCTGAAGATAAAAGATCAGAGAAGGCATAACAATTAACTCTACAGTGGAGCACAGAGTGGAGAAACTGGGGTGGGGAACAGATCCTCAGTGATCTACGGGATAATCCATTGGCTTAACATACATGCAGTTGGGATTCCAGAAAAGGAAGCAGAGCAGAAAGATATCTGACAAAATGATAGCCAAAAATTTTGCAAATTTGATGGAAATTTCCAGAATTAGATAAAATTGATGGAAGAAGCTTGACAAACCCCAGGCAGGATAAATTTGAACTGTTCAAGATGATGTAATTCATTACAGTCAGCCTCAAGTATAATTTCTAACTGTTTTAAGCCTGTCAGCATGTCCACGGGTGGTAGTGAATCACATAAGGGCAAGGAAGGGGTGTGGAAAGGGTTTTCACAGATCATGTGTCATCCTACTCATTAAAGAAAGGACGTATTTTTTTGAAACTCAGATGGGCTGCACTTCAGGGTCAGGCCCTGGCTATATCTGCTTAGAGGGCTACACGGTACCACAATGTACAGAATCAAACAGTTCTGCTCTTTCCAGTGTTTATTCTAGAGTTTGGTGGGCTGGGTGGAGAATGGAACAGGACAAGAAGAAGCCACACTGACAGTTATGGAATCCCTTCATTTAGTGCAAATGTATCATTTGATTTTAGTGCTTATGATGGACGTTCATTCATATTATTAATAGAACTTTAGAAAAAAAATCTCTACTCCAGTACTCAGAAGAATAATATGAAATACTTTGAAATAATCTTTAGAGGTATTTGAACTTAATAAGAAGTAAGGTATTTCTATTACCTTATTTGCATTTCTTATATCTATTATTGAGGTTGTAAGTAACCAGTGACTAACAGCATCTAATTGGTACACAAAGGCATTATAACCAACATGTTTTGTATCTCATATAGGTAAACAATCAAAAGATAAATGTCAACCTCAGGAAGAAATGTAACACAGTTACAACTTGAGATGCCTTAGCGTAGAAAAAATGATTAGCAACTAATTTATGGGTAATAAACAAACAACTCTTTTCAAACCAAATCTTAAAATTCATTAAAAAGGTGTCTACTATTTTTCTGTACTGACTACAGAGATTCACTTTTGTTGCAACCTTCATCCTAAAGACGTTCTCAGATAATTTTTTCTGTGGCATATTTTTAAAAATTCAACCACAGAAATGTGTTGAATAACACTGACCTGTGCCCAATGAAATGACTTACTAAAAAATCAAATGGCATTTCTTTAATGTGCAATGTAAAATTCATTTTAATTATCTAAATTTAATTACTGTGTAGTTGCTTAAGTAGAAGGGATGATGGCTGGTAATACTCAGCAGCAGTAACACAGGTAATTATGGAATTTTCCAAGAGAAAAATGCTGGCTATTACACGAGTACAAATTTAAAAGATACAGGTGGGAGGGAGACACTCACCGTCATCTCGACCAGGCTGAAAGCTGCTACCCCTCTTCAGAGACGCCGTCTGGCCTAGATGACCCGGCATGGAGGCACGCACATCGCCGTCCAGGTCCAGCGTGGCGCTGTGAAGGCCCGGTGGCCCTGGAAGAGAGAGGCAGCGTTTCCATGGACTCACAGAGCTTACTAAGTGATTTAATGGACCTCTTCTCTGAGAGATTTCTTGCTCAACCGTTCCATTCTTTTTTTTAAAGAAGACATCTACTAAAGTAAAACCAGAAATATTTTCTCTAAATAGCTTTTAAAAGTCACTCCCACCATACAGATTTGGAGGATTAAATCTATTACTCTGGCTTAATACAGACATGTAACTTACATATCATTTCAGAATGAATGTTCAGCAAAACGGAGGGGAGGGGGTTCCATAAACATAAAAATCAGGATGAAAAATTCTTTTTTGAAAAGCAACTTGGCACTTGGAAAGGAAGGTACAGGGTTTAGTGGAGCAGACTTAACAGCATAAATCTTTGACTTCCCCCTTAAAATTTAAATCTCCAAATACCACAACTTCTTTCTTTGCAATGTGGGATGTGATTTCTTATTTCTATTCCCACTGCCAGCCACCTAGTTGGGACCCTTTTCACCCCACACTGTTAATATTCTAGAAGCCTAACACTTCACTAGAGAATGTCAAGACATTCTCTTTATTGTCCTGGATTAATACCACCAAAATACTGCTATCTTGATTCTCTTCTCAGAAGTCTTCCAGAAAACCCTCAGAATTCCAACCCAAATTATCTAAGAACCAGGAAACACTTTTTCTAAGATGGTTCTCCAGAGTCACCAGGAATGGAATCCCGTGTTGCTAATCCTGTTAGTGAGAGGCTGGCATTATGGGTAGAATTCGCCTTGTCAGCCTGCAGAGGTGCTACAACCAGCACTCTGAGCTCTGCGGCTGAGCATTCAAAGACCTCCAAAACAAGCTGAATTCAATAAACATTTACAGGGTGCTTACGGTGCAGAGGACACTATGAAAATGCATCTTTCATTTTCCTGCCTCACTTCCTACCCTTTTCATCATCCTCCCCATCCTGTTAATAAACACAAGTCGCCTCCTGCTGTTCCAGCTCAAAGTGCTGTCTACTTTCCCTGCCCTCCGAATGAACACCGTCTCACTGACTCAACATTCTGCCTTCTGCTGTTCATTAACAGTTCCAGTCAGAACTTCTCGGGGATAAGGATCAATATTAAGTCTCTGTCCACAGCTGGATCTTCTGCATATAATTCCTTCAATATACACTGAGTGACTGATACTAAATTATTCAATAAGAATGCTCTTCCTTTGTTTTATAACTTAACAGAATATGAAAAGCTTATAGATTTGTTTCCAAGGGCAAAAGATGAAACCCAATTATAAAATAATGATTTTATGCCAGTGATAGTGTCAGTTATTCAGTAGCATCAAACAAGTCTTTACTGAGCCCTCCTACGTGCCAGGAATTGCAGGCCCCTGGGATATGGCAGTGGGTTAACAGGTAAAGGCCTGTCCTCAAGGTGTTTACATCCTGGCAGTGGAGGCAGAAAATCAAGACATAAGTGAATACAATACAAGCAAAGAGTCTGCTTTCATGGCTCCTCCCATCATGAGCCACTCAGCATGATACAGTATGAGCTATCTCCCCGCCTCCTCACAGATTCTACCAGGCAGGTTTTACAGAAATAGAAACCAAGTCATTTGAACAGATAGTTTCAGTGGAATGGCATTTTATTAAATACCCACGATGTTTCGCCTACTATGCTAAATGCTTTATTTACATGGACTTCTACTTTGGAACACATTAAATCTAGGATAAGACTTGTAGAATTCAATATTTTAAAATAGCAAGAAAAATGAGAGTTAAGAAAACACATAGATGAAGAAATAATATTTTTTATAATTGATTTTTTCCCCATCTCAAAGAGGGATTTGTGTGGAAGCTTTGAAGATTTATGACATTTTCCTCTGAAGTTTACAGAGTCACCACTGCTATTAATTGTAGAATTCAAGAAATTAATATCAAAATATCAATTTTCTGACATATTTTAAAAGGAAATGTAGGGACTTCCCTGGTAGCACAGTGGTTGGGAATCTGCCTGCCAATGCAGGGGACACGAGTTCCAGCCCTGGTCTGGGAGGATCCCACATGCCACGGAGCAACTAAGCCTGTGGCCACAGCTACTGAGCCCGCATGCCACAACTACTGAAGCCCATGCACCTAGACCCAGTGCTCCACAAGAGAAGCCCGCGCACCGCAATGAAGAGGAGCCCCCACTCGCCACAACCAGAGAAAGCCCGCGCGCAGCGACAAAGACCCAACGCAGCCAAACACAAATAAATAAATTTATATAAAAAAGGAAATGTAAAAAAGCCCAAACTTGGCACCACATTAAATGTTTGTATAAAATGTGTAATTTATGTAAACATGTATATTGAAAGGTGCAAGAAGAGAATGCTTTAATTCAAAACGTTATAAGTTACTACCCTTGAAGGTTTCAGGACTACAAATTTTTGATTAGAAGGAAAACCTCCTAGTTTCCTAAATACACACTGTATACCATTCCTACAAAAATATACAATGATCATTAAGTAGATCCTCAGAAAAAGTTTTTCCCCGTAACTGGTGTGTTTACAGCATTAATTTAAATGCATGATATTAAGTCCTGTATAGTTTAATTTAAATAAACTTGAATTTTGAAACTGTTAAAAGACTGATTTACTTTTCCCTTTAATGGCAGAAACTATTAAGAACATGCGTTTCTTCTATTAGAAACCGTATCATCATTTTCTACGATATCAGGAAAAGAAAGCTTACCAAGAACTAATTTCTTATTTGGAAGTGTCTGTCGAATAGCAGCAAGGACAGCACAGTAGCAGGGAGAGGACGGCCCCCAGACCCTGGGGACAGATGCGTCCGTGGGCGTGCTGGGCCAAGGGTCCGGCAGGTGGTGCCCTGCACAGCCCGGGGACCAGCCCTGCAGTGGGAGCCCGGGCCTGAGCCCAGAACTCGCTCACCTCTAACAGACTGCTCCTTTCTCTGGTCAGAAAAAGTCTTGCAATGAATAATCTTATGGGGAATTAGGAGGATTGTCCTTTGAGAAGAAAATTAATGAAAACATTTAAAATCTCAGTTGTCAGAAATTATTTACTATCAAGTGTCAAAAAAAAAAAAAACTTGAGGATTCTGACACTCCTTTTAAACTTAAATTACATGACGATATTTATACCCCACAAAATTATTACAAATATGAAGTGCTTCTGATGATAAACAAACATTATTATAAAAGAAAGAAAAAGATGAAAAAAAGTTTCTGTAACATAAAATCAGCAAAAGGTTTTAAAATATAAGAAATCCGTTCATTTGCTCTTGACTGTTTTACCTCACAATACGATAGCAGTATCTCTTGATATGTTTAAGAGAAATGTTATATAAAATATACTGTTATAAATGAGAGTAACTAGGAAGTTTCATAATATCATGCTCTTATTTATGTGCAGACCATACACAAATGAAAATTATGTTACTTCGTATATTTTCCCTGAAAACACTAAATTATCTGCCCTGATATCCACCTAAGGATGGTGTTCAATACATATATACACAGGACTTGGGTTTTTCATTAGAAGCTCAGTTTGCACTAAGCTGTTCTGCAGGTGACAGAGCCTAAAGTTTTTGTAAAACTGTGACTTTGTCTTTTTCAAACCTAATACTGGATTAATGAGTTATGGGAGGTCATTTGTTTTCTTGAGAGTAGATTTTCTCTAGAAATGAACTGTTCCTACGATTTTATCCCTGACGAAAGTTTTTCTCAAATAGGATCACAGCCCAGCTTTCCCTCATCTGTGCTCACGCTGACAACTGCTCCCTATCCCAGGGGCCCCCGCTCTGTGGCAGAAGGAGTCACAGGCGGCATATGCTTCTTCACCTGTAAAAATCAGGGCTTGAACTACACAAGCCTTAGTGTCTTTTTCAGCTCTAAAATTCTGATTCTATGATACAAAATCTGAATTTGAAACTTTGAACCACCGCTTATTCCGCTCCCTGGAATAGTTTGAGACAACTGAGGGTGATGAGTAGCAGTGCTGTTTAAATGTATAAACAGTCTCTGCCCCTACACAGAGAGCACACGTGAGCGTTAAGTCGTAAAAGGAAATTTCATCAAGAAAATATTAAAGGCGACAAAAACAGTAACAGGGAAAACGTCACTAGGATTTCATACTTGTTATTGTGGACCTTACAGCTTGGCTATTTTAGAGGCACCAAGCAGAGTAACCAATAAACACCCTCAAATGACAGCGTGCTGATAAGATCAAGAGTACCTGGCCGCAATCTGTCCAAGTTATCTGAGGAATAACTACGGGGAAAGATTGCTCTCCTGACAAAACTTCACACAGCAACACTTCCATCAGTACAGTATTTCCAGTCCTAAAATTCTATACGGTGTTTGTAGGGGGAAAAAAGAAAAAAAGGATACTAAAAAAATTCTAGAACTAAATAATCTTAGGGTATAGCTGTATCTTCTAAATTCCATGAACTAATATTTGGGTTTTTACCAATACATCAAAGAAAACATATATATCTTATCTACATATGCTTGGAAGAAGCATCTTGGAAGAAAAACTCTTTTAAACACTTAAAATTAAAAAAAAATGACTAAGCTTCTTAATTACTGACCCTTGATAGAAGAAACGTTCACGTGTTGCGGTCTGGGGAAGACATTCTGGCTTATACACGCGTCCACTTGAACTTTATACTAACTGGAACAGCCTGTTCGTGGCTGTTCAATCAAACACACATTGTGCGTCTGCTTTAATTATTGCAGAAGAGGGCACAGTGGCCAGAAGTAAAGAACGTCCACGCTAAAAGTAAAGATGAAATGCCTGTCTCCCTGGGCCACCAATGCTGGTCCTTCTTGAATGGTGAGATTCCCTTCCCAGGTGCCAAGGCCACACTGACTCGCTGTGTACATGCTGGTCTGTATCCCTGACATGTTTGATGTTCTTTGTTCTGACAAGATATAAAACTGTGCTGAAAACCATGCTTCTCTGGAACAGTTCCTCAGAGTTATCTGAGAGGCTGTCTTCTGGGCTACAGTCCTCAGTTTGG